TTCATGTTATTTCTTTGTAATTTCAGTTTTTTGTCATTCAGCAATTTTATAAGTAAGGGAACTTATGGTGGAGACAACTGGTGGCACCAACTTACCAGGAAGGTGAATTTTTAGTAGACCGTACCCGGCTTCGCACCGGTGCAATGCTGATACTAAATATAAATTCATCCATCGAAAAATGGATAAACAGAAATGAAAATATAACTTTATTTGATGAACGCGCCTTTTTCCTCCGGGGGTGACGCCCCAGTTGGAATATTTAAAAATCCTTTCTTATTGCACATCTACAACATAAAACAAACCTACATACAAAATTTCAGCCTCCGAAAATATAGCGGCACGGTGAAACAGTGATGGGGGTACCTACCCTAGTTGGAATATATGAAAATCCTTTCTTAGTGCGCATATAAGAGCTCAGAAGCACCTATATACCCAATTTTAGCTCCCTAGGACTTACCAGTTCGGGGAAACAAAGATGAATGAGTGAGTTTTAAGTGAGTGACTTTTACATTTATAAGTATAGATTCCCTCCAAAAATTATCTTCTTCAGAAATTAAGAATTTAACCCCCTCGAAATTCTATTCTAAATCCGCCTTTGCTCAGATCGAATATTTTCATTCAATGGGCTTTCATGGCCGAGGTCACGATTACAGAGAACAAAGTCCGGGTTGGTGAGCCATGGTCTAATGGAAACTGAAATATCAAAGGTTTCGTCTGCTACTGAGGCAGACATCATCAGTGGCATGTGCATTGACTGCGAGGACGAAGGTTATGTTTTGAAGTCAAAGCAATGACAATCATTTCATATAATACGCTTTCAGTTGTATACTCTTCTTTCCTCCAAGGTATATTACTTTCAAAAAATTATTGAGTACAATCGTAAATTTTCTCATGCAGGTGAGCATCCATTGCACTTCGTTTGCTACAATACCAAATGCTGTTTTTTCTTCATTGTGGTATCTTCTTGAAGTTACCGAAATCATGTCAAATAACACGTTTAAAATGATATTTTATAAACATGAAATATATGACAATAGTCTTCAGGGAGCATATTCTAAAAATAAAAATAAATCCTATGAAGGATCATTGAAATAAGGACAGTTCAAAAAAAAATATGAAATTTCATTTACCACTTTGATTGTNGTTTTTATGGTTTACTTGGATACTATTTTATATAAAATTTTCTGAAAACCACCTTTCCGTTCCCATTTTCGCTAAACGATCATGACTTACGTTTTTCAAATGGAACACCCTATATATTGCTCAATCACTAAAGTGATTAGGTATCTCTCTAACCTTTTTTCAGATATGACTTATTAGAAATTGCACGTTAGAAAGTGAGACCTCAATAATCTCTTGTTGGTACAAGTTTCAAGTTGGTCGTCATTCGTAAGTAGGCGACACCTGGTGTTATTCCTAGTACGGCCAAGGATATTCCATTAAGAACCTGCCACTCAAGAACCTGCCACTCATCAGTCATGCCCAGATAACTATTGATTCAGATTCAAAATTCCACTACAACCTACGTGGGTTTTAGGTTTCTTCTGGTTCTAACATCCGAAACTGTTTGAAAACTGCGCAAAACATGATGCGTACAAACAAAAAATCTCAAACGGTCCGAAATAGTCTCGGACACTTGGTTAAACCAGAACACATTTTGAGGAGACCACTGTGCCACCTATCGTATATATGAAGAGATGAAGACGAGAAAATACTGTTGATCATGTCCATTTTGTTATGTAGCGTATCCTTGTAGTCAGTTCCAATGTTAT